TCTTTAGCACAACTCTCCTAGCCCATCTATCCATCATATTTCAATGGGTCACCAAGTGCATGTGCACGGATGTATATGGGTCAGGGGCGCAGTTTTCAACTCTCATCGCACGCCTTACTCTTCGATAGGTAAAAAAATGCATTTGCTTTTGATATTTTTAATATGGTGTTTGCTTTTCATTCATTGTGGCTTTCTTCTGAAAATTTCACTCTGTGTAATGCTGAATTGATGGCGCAGACAAATGACTTGTTCCCTGGTTGAGACGCATAAATGGTCCAATGGCCTATTTTATTTTCATGATCGATTTTAACGTCAGTGAAGGTCCGCGACTGGTAAAATGTCAGGATAATGCGAATTGCTCTCCCAAATTGGACCGATAGAGCGAAGGATGGATTATTGTGTGGATGGATAACTATAGGGGTTTTCAGATATTGAAACATTTCAACGATTCAGGGCATCATTGTTCATGTATCAAAGTGTCAGTTTATACAATAGGGAGTTACTGGATGAAGTAATAATTTGTTTTTTTATGTATCCAGTCAATATGCATTTCACATAGTAGCCAAATTAAATTAGGAGAAAAAAAAAACAACTGGGAGATAACCCGGATGGTATTAAGCCCTCAGCCAGCCATTTTGGTAACTATGAAAAATTTTTTTTATGGTTTACACTTTTTCTGAACTATTGGTTTACCACTTCCTCGCAAACCTGTGACCTAAATCTATTTTAACTCTAACAAAAGCATACATCGATCCACGTTTCCTCGACATTGGGATTTCTTTCGTATTCCAATGAATTCCAATTAATTTTAAATTCCGAATGGTCTCACGCATTCGGATCCGCGACAATGAATTCCTCAAACTCGTCTGTTTGCTCACACTTTCACGGTGCCATTTAAACTGAGATCTCATGAGAGAGTGTAATATTCAAGTAGACAAGGTGAAAAATTTGCAAGTCGAATTGGCTAACAAAAGTCAAAGCGGAGAGCTTTAACGACGAAAACTTGACTGATTGGTGAACCAGAACTTGAATTAAGAATGAATTCCGTACCCTGGGGATTATTCTCCCAATTTACCCATTTTTTCTGATCTCTCCCCACTCTACATTCTCCATTATGCTATTTACCGAGGTAAATATGCCCCCAGGTTTATCAATAAATTTTTCTATCCTGTCAATTATCCTCATCTCGCCATCCCACTACCCGACAATTCCAATACGAAATAGAAAGAAAAAAGTGGACAATAAAAAATCTTCCATGCATCGAAATCATGTGAAAAAAATACTTGTATTGAGGATGTAGCAGCGTCAGGCCCCGTTGGTCCATTCTTTCCAAGATACCTTCTGCCAAGATTCACGAAATAAACGCAGCACGACTGAGAGTAAAAGATAATACATTAACATTGTTAAATAAATCACATGTCTTTCGTCAACGCCGACCGTGAGAATTTTTATTCTATTTCCAACCTCCGCTGGCCTCGGAAATGGGGCGCGAAGGGGCAACGGCTAATTAGAACGCCACGATAGAAATCCAATATGCCGAGGAGAGCGCCCTCTAACGCATAACGTTTAGTTAATCCAATATCTGTAAATGGCAGCAATGTCGGTACCCCTCATCTATTTTATTCTATCTCTTATTTGCACACCACCTATGCCCTCCGCTCTCTTGAGCTCCCAAAGGTATTCCATATGAAATCTAATCTGAAAGTGTGAGGGGATGAATGTGAAAAAATACTGGATCGAGCAATTACGGTGCATTAGCTCGAGGTGTAACAAAAAATGTGAGAAATGAACAGTAAAACGAAGAAAATGACAAATAAAAATGGACTCCTGGAGGTGGTGAGGAAGAAAAAACACGTGGCATTACGAGAGCACTCGGTACGTCAATGATACCCGGTAGCACTCGAAACCTCGATATCACAGACGAGGTGCTCACCAAACCACAAATACCAAAGAATTTTTCCTCTCAATTCATTGAAAATACAGACAATTTCTCTGACTCATCCACCAATTCTCATTGACCCCTCGTAATTACTTCATCTCATCTATCTCGTGACCTTGATGATGAGTTTATTTCCACTTGAACTGACATATTACAACTATGTGAAGTGTACAAGGGTGTTGGGAGGAGAACAAAGGGTAGAGCAGTGGGGAAAAGATAGCTAAAAAATAAAGAGGAGGGAGGATGAGTAACGAAGGGCTTTTAAGTGCACATCGGAAGTTCAAACTCTTCAGGAAAGTGTATGGCCGTTGATGAACCGATGAGTACAGAAAGGGGATGGGGTGAATTCGACCTTGTGGTGTATATACAACGGACATAAGCAGCAAGTACCTCATGTCTACGGTACAGGGGAATCACGCTTTAATAATTTGTCGGTTAGATCGATCGGCTCAATGGTCACGGTGAACTATTCCCGTAAGTACACCATTTCTGACAATGATTCCTGTTATTTATTTCATCTTTATACCTGTTCTTCTTTTCCTCTCCACACCACGGAGAAAAAAAAAATTCTCTCAAGTATATTTACTAACCCAAAGAAAATATATTTGGAAAAAGATATTTTTTATTTCTCAGTGCATGTACATCGTACAAACAACAAGTAATTTCGGGGACCAACAATCACGGGATGCAGTTGAAATTTTTAATTTCAGAGTGAAAGTAACAAACGACAAGTTTACAAAGGTGGATTTATGACGTCAGAGTTACGAAATCCGAGTGTTTCCTTGATGATTCATTATGTAAGGTATCATGTGGGCATATACCAGGAAACCTAGATGATTAACCTGCGCTAACATGCACTGTTCATTACAGTATTAATGGATGGACTCGGTGGGAAAAAAATTATTCTCTACATTACTCCTCAAGGGAATTGTACTTCGATTTTTTAGAGATTATTATACAGAGAGAAATATTCAATAACAATTACCTATTTTTTCTGTAAGTCCGGAGTAAATGGTCGTTGAGTAAAATTAAAAAGACCTATTACCCCATTTTTTCAGAGGATTCCGTATTTTTTATTGCATATTTCTGTCTGTGTAGTGCAAACGATTTGGAATGCTGTTGGTTGCATCAAGAGTGCAAGAGTGAAGAGAAATACCTGTAAGCAATTAACTTGATCTGTCCCCGAACTATTTCTTCCAACTGCAGGGGAAATTGGAAAATCAGTCATATGTATAGACAGACTAGTGCTATGTCGCCCAAAAGTTTCTAACCGTCGGCAGCGATGACGGAGGCTAGCTAAAAATAGAGATAGGCACATAACAGTGCATGGGAGGCATTGAAGCATCGGTCAGCAGACATTCCTTTTTCTTCTTTTATCGTAAAAAAATGAATAAATAAAGCCACTACGTGCCAACGATTGCTCGTGCTCGACGGATTTTCGAAAGAAATTGATGCCACACCAACACCCCTATGTGTTTATCTACCATGGATTTTTATTATATTATACCTTTTCATTTTCTTTTTCTCTCCATTGGCACATATGGAGATGCATTAGTGGACAGAAACGAGAATAGCAGTCTCGACTCACTGTATACGTGCATATTTCGTTTTAACCACCGACTCGACTAACACACGTCTGCTCATGCCTTCGTTTCATCCCACAATTACTTTTTCCACTGATTTCCCTCGGCCTTAGTCCCTCTCTTGTAACTCTACCATCCGAGAGAAGAAAAAATGAAACGAGGAAAAGGGCAGAAACTCATGACTCGACTACAACGTGAGTTATCTCACTCACTCCCTTGAAAATCCATCATCGATAATGCTGAAGCATGAATTTGAAAGATGAAAAGGGGAAAATGGAAAAATTGTGGATTCAAAGTCAATGCCCGCCGAATTTAAACGAATTAATTTCTAAAATAATGGAAAAACGAGAGGTAGAAAATTGACGAAAAATCCAACGATTACCAAATCCGTTACGAATAAATAAAAAAAACTCGGGCATATTTGTTATTTCAGTGGTATGTTTGCGTGCTGCTTATCGTCTAACCAACTGAAGTAATATTAATTTTTTTTCCTCTTTTTCTTTAAGGGGTCAAACCCCACACATGATAACGGGCTATAATCAGTCTTGTACAGGCGACCACGTTGGCAGATATAGTAGACCAAGCTGTTTGATAACTCATTGTGGAACAAGATTAAAATAATAAAAAGAGCAAGAGCAAAATGTATAACCAACTCGGCGGGAAAATTCGAATAGTAGATTGAGTGAGTAAAAGGGGTTGAAGGGATGATAATTTGAGCAGTGTAGTGTAAAATACTTGGACTAATTTTTAGTATCCTTACGAAGCGTGCGCTCTAGTTCGGGGGTGTGCGGTTGTAAAGGCAAAGGGTATAACAACACTTTGCGTGGTGGTCGTGGTGGTATTGATCGGGATAAGCACAGAGTGGCAAAATGGGAACCAGCTACTAACCGGGTTGCCGCTATAGATATGGTTCAGTAGGAGTGAGTGGAAAAGAAAGGATGGGAGATGTATATATATGTGTGTGTGCAAGGGGCTGATGGTTTTTGTCTGTATGTGTGACTAAGTCGACGAACGGAGGGAAAAAGGGGAGTAGGATATGAAAACGGTGGAGACGAAAGGTAACGGGCACAGTAACAGCAGTGGCAGCACAGACCACAGTGGCATGCTAAGCAAAGAGCTGAAACCTATATGTATACACACATGCATGAATATTTTTATGATAAAGTATGTGTACATCGGTGGGTGGAAAAAATGGGTGGATTGTATTATGTTGCGCATGCGAATAACTTGGCATGCGGGAAAACGTTATTTAGCGTGTGTTCACTGCCAAATGCCATTCCCGCTTGCCCCTCTACACTCTTCCCTGCCTCCTTGGGCTGTTACTTTTTTCGGTTGATGTACTCTCGCCTGGGGACATTGACATGATAATAGTTGGGGGCACGACGAGGGTCATGTCGATTCATGTGGCATTGTAATTATAGGCATCGATGGATTACTGAGGTAGTTATTTGATTTGAGTTGGGGGATGATTTACTTACGTTGATAATGCACAGGCACCTGTCGGTTGCTTAGACGGTTGCTTATTGTTCGTATCCTGTAATCGGTGGCAAATCCCTTCCGATCAGCCCTGAGTTTAATAGCTTGCACTAGGTATGACACTTTTTTTTTCGATAGCAATTCATGTACTGGTTGTACGGTTGATGAATGATTCAGGTGAAAAACTCACGCTACGGGTGTATCTGATATTTTTCCCTTTTATTTTTCAATGATATTCTTGAAATTCTTATCTTTTTACTGGCTTTTACTCCCTTGAATTTTCACCCCGGCGGCTGACCGGGTCACGCGCGCTCGCGCCCACTCCCCCGAGATATTTCCACCAGGAGGACGTAACTTGGCACTTCCGAATGTCGCGCCCGTTTTTCCAGATACTCAATTTATCGTGGAAATAATGAGTAATTTACGTACGAATCGCCCAATATTGAACAACCTATTTTCCTAATGCGGCCTCAATACTTGATCGATGATAACAATTTTCACCCTTATTCAGCAATCACGGAGCACAATTTTATTTAACACACTGCAAAATCACCGACAGTCATAAATATACCCGTTGTTGCACTAAACACACACGCCCTGGCTTTCTTCAGTTACAATTAATCAGCGATTATCATCACATTGATGATCGTTATCACGACTACAATTACAATCAATTAATCGTCGAACTAATTACAATAATTAATTACAAATGTGCAACACGATAATGAGCCAGTTCCCGCTGTAAATTTATTTAAAATACATTCACCGCCACAAACCCGGTCCGCAGTCTCCCTCTGGCCTCGTGCGCACTCTCCTCATTGAGAATAGATACTGAAGTAGAGAATATAGGCAGGCCAACGCCATTCGAGTATGGACGGCACGGGGGCTGGATGGCAAACCGGCAGCGAAGAGGAAGGGGTTGAGATTTGGAAGCGACCATCGAGGCGAGGCTTCGAAACCTACAATTCAACGCTCAAATATCTGTAAGATGGCAGTGCAAACGTATTCACCTCAAATGTGCAGAACCGTGGCCATTGGCTTACGGCTATTGGTATTCCCCATTTATTGACCCTGATTACACCAACTTTTTGCTCCTTTTTTGCTACTAGTCTGAGCCAACGGCGAAGACCAAATTCCCCGAGACTTTTTTTTTTTTACCTCGGGTATTCACCGTATTTATTGCTACTTTACTAACCCCTTGGCATGGTATTCGTGGAAAATTTCTATTTCTACCCTCTCATTTCTTCGTCTGTTGCGTTTGCGGATCTTTTCATATCGACGAAATCCCACCTCGACCCCGATTTCACGCGCTACAGCCTGGGCTAATCCACGCGCGCGTTCGTCTATACTTGTAACGTGAATGCAAACGTGTTGCAGTTATGTAACTCTTGATTGAGAAGATCCATTTTAATCCGTGTGTTTATTTCTTGGAAATGTTTCAAACCGTTTTTAAGCTGACATAAAAATTTTTAATCCGGGGAGAGCTGGAGCCTGGAGACAAATTCCATTCGGTTATTTCAGATGATTATGGTTGTCTCAATTTAGATTTTTTTTTCTTTTACGATTCACTTTGGTCGACTGATCTCCCGGAAGACGAACGACTCCAGGAGGATAAAGGTCTTACTAATGTATCGAGAGCAAAATTATCCACCTTCACAGCAAGACGCGGAGGAAAGGAAAATATGGGGTGAAAAGTGGGGGCCCAAGGGTCAAAATGGACACTGTCTGTCTTCACAAAAGTTAGGACCTCAGCCAATTAGTGGTTGAACGGAATAATTACTTCCTATTCAAGAGATTTATTCTTAAAGTATGAATATTCAAAAAAATGTCTGGAGTGTCAATTTTGGCCCACTTAACCCTATACATTATAAATTAAAAATACAAATTTGAAAAAAAGTTCACTAATTATCCTCAATATTGTACATCAGAAGCAACAAATGAATATAAGATTTTTATATAAAATATATCGCCACTGACATTTATTTGCCATTACTTTTTTCTCTCTTTTTCAATCACCACTAAATGATGGAAATAATCGTATTGGGCAATCTGCGTTAATTCCAGAATCGAATAAAAGATCTTGTCTCTCTTTTTTTTTAATTATTACATCACTGAATCCCATTCTTCTATCGAATGTTTCTGCTTTCAGATTTAATTATCCGCTCATATTCGTACTACTGGACAATAGGATTTACATGCTCCATCACTCATTAAATTGAAGAGTGTTGTGAACGTATGAGACGCATTATCCCCAGATTCATTGGGTTATGCAGTAGATTTTATTCATAACAGAACAAATGTTGAATCCAATATTATAATTAATAATACACAGCGTTTCAACATTCAACGTGTATTCGCACCGTATGAAAATAATCTCCTAGTGCCCAGGAATTGAACAATTAATCCATAAAAAATTCGATCCCCGAAAATTATTTCACCTCAATCCAACTGAAATTCTAACAATAGAGAACGGGAGAAACCGAACGTGACAGCCGGCATAAATATTCTCGGCGATACGATATTCGAAAATATATCGTACAATTTATTTCATCAATCATCTCTATCTGATTTGTTTTCTTCCTATTGCACTTAACTAATACTTAGTTTTTTTTTTCTAAACTTACAGGGGACCATTTCTGGTTTCAAACGACGAGAGACATCTTCCCTTGAGTTTCTCATACACTCCGTACTTCGGATAGTTAAAAAAAAAGACGTCGTGATCCACTCTTACTTTTCAATTGAACTTATTTTTTTTTTATGTGTATTATATGTTCAACTGCTTGAAGTAAGATCTACAATACAACGTCATTGCGGATGGGGCGGCATCGATGCTGCGTAATTTTCCCTCGTGTTCAGTTAGACTCTCCAAAGCAGTTATGTATTGACGATCAAATACACCTGAACAATGAATTTGATAAAAAAAACATTGAGATCCAGTGGAATTAATCGTGCAATTGAGTTTGTCAAAATATTCCTCCTCATAGACTAAATGGTAATCTTACTCCATGCATTATTTACCTTGGTCAATATTTCCCCTTCCAAGTACTGTAAAGGCCAAAAACAAAATATCTCTGTATATAGAAAATGGTGTTAGTTCAGCCGTTTCGGCTTTACTCCTCTGTAAGGCCACACGTTTGATTGGTTCTGTCAAGTTATTACGACGAACATTGTCAATAACGTTCTTCATCAGCCTGAAAAATTTATCGGTATCAGGTGAAAATAAACCCTTTGACCCCAACGATAATATAATGCAGCATAAATACGATAATAACGATGAAATAACGTACGTTCGATCTTCGACACACTGTTTCCACTGTAGATACATTGGTAAATGATTCATGTGCAGTTTCTCATTGTCCCATAGCGTTCTTACACTCACTGAACTCGAATTACTGGATAAATCCTTGACTCTATCATTGTTCAACCACAACTCGGGTAGATGGCTGTTGAGATTTATCCTCTCGAAATACCAAATCAAATTCCAATAGACTATAGGATGCTCTTGTATAAATCGGTGCTTTGTTAAGCAAGTGTCACCCTCCTGACTTAACACATTTTCCAATTCTTTTCGTAGCACGAGAGGATTTAAATAAGGGACTGTAATAGGTTCTGCTAATTCTTTCGGCTGATCAAGAAGTTCAACCAGGACACCGGTCAAAGGATCGTTGATCTTTTCTCCCTCGTCGCATCTAAAAAAATATCACTCATGTGATCGAATGATCTCCGTTTGTATGGAATGATAATAATTTGCAGAAACAAAACTGAAATTAATTATCTTGCATTTTTAAAGAATCACCTGTAATCCAGAATGAGAACTGTGAGAAGAGGAACCGTGGCCTTTCCACAAAATTGACAGATTGTATTTAAATTAGAGTCCTCGGGCTTCCACCCAGCCATTATCTCTTCATCATAGATGATGGCCATACAATGGTGACACCTGCTAGCACTGCAGATCACAAGTTCCACTGCTGGACGTTCGTCAAATTCTCGAGATCCTTTTGGATACATGCAGTCCGCTAGTTCACAAAGAGAGCCAAGTCCCTCAATACCAGAGTCGCCCGACGTTCTAGTAGTTAATTCATTACGATCCTGCTGGGATCCATCTGTCAATGAATCCAAGGACTCGTGAGAGACACCGTAACCGAGACGCTGGTCACGATCTTTTGATTTAACTGGGGTGCTAGTTGCCGATATCGCCTCTTTTATTTCGTCGAATTTTTTTACGACAGTCGTCGCTGCCGATTTCAGACTGTTCAAACCCCCCAGGATGATTTCGTTGGATTTCTTACCAGTTAGGCTAGGACTGCAAAAAATTTATTCATGCATTTTTCAGGGTTTTTTTTTATAACGTAACAATAGAGAGGGATTATTTTTCACAATTTCACATGCTAAATGACTAATTTTCAAGCGAGTGAATTAGAGTAGCAAAATAAATTACAAACCTTATGTAATTGGAGAGATTAAGGGACTCACTAAAATTCTGGGTTATTAAATCCTTGTTTTTTGCAAACGCCAGACCTCCAGCTGAGTATCGTCTAGATTAATGTGCAGAACAAAAATAAACAGAAAAACAAAAAAAATAACTCAACCGTAAATCAAGGCAAAATGTATGAGTTTGAGGTAGTGGGATAAGCCATACACGTAATTGTTCAGAATAAACAAAGAATGCTATAATTGTGGATAAGTGTGCTGTTATGCAGAGATAAACTGGATTAGAAGATCATACCCAAAACTGAGCTTCAGGCTAGAGCCCAAACTCGATAAACTAGAAGTAACACTGTCTTTGTTGGACCAGAGGCTGCTAATTTCCAATCTGTCTCGTTCTCTCTCCTGTTCACCTTGTTGCGCAACAGAATGGGGCATTGTTTCACTTCTCTGCAGCTGACTACTGACTACAGCTGGAGATTCATCAACAGCTTGATGAAATGTCGCACTTCTCTGCATTGTATTGCTGTGGAATTCAAGCCAAGTAGATAAAGCGTCAGTTTTTTATTTGATAAAGCTTTCAGTAGCCAGGTGTAGAGTGGAGATAATTTGAAAATTTATTTTTACATTATTTAAAAAATTGAAATTTTTTATCAATCAGAAATTTCAGTGAGTCGTCATAGATAATATAATTGTCGTTAATACCTCCGAAAAAGAAGGGGTCCACCATGTCTTTCACCGATTGTATTATTAACGACAGTTAGTGTACTCGTTGAACAATTGGAATCATTTTCTTCGGAGGGGGATACGATGGGGGTCTCGTCGTTCATCAATGCCCCCAGTGGATCATTCTCAGTAACTGGAGTGCGAACAGGACTCTTAAGAGGAGATTCAGGACTTCGTGTTGATCTATTAAATTTTCGAGCCCGTGATGAATTATTGGAATTACAGAAATTCTCAGAAATGTGAGAAATGCCAATACAATGTTTCAGTGAATACCTAGGATCTGTTGGTGAATCATCTAACGCCTCAGGCTGTGATGTACTTAGCATTCCAGATCCTTTAACGATACTATCTTGGCGTCGGAATTTATTTCTCATTTCGAGTATTCCGAAATTTGGTAGGTCTGGCACTGAGCTGCCTTTCAATGATGCTATAAAATGAAATTTGAAAAATTGAAATTTCATTGCAAATGAAAATAGCCGCTTATAAATAAAAATAGATGAGAGAATTACAATCATTATTCAGGGCTTCTTGATCGTGCGAGTGTGTACTATCGAGACTAGATCTGGACGTGGCCAAGTGTTCCATCTCCTGGCACTTAAGGCCATCGATACCGAATACTTCGGGATTCAGGCTTAATCTTCTCCTGGCACTTTTCTTCCCTGCCCTCTTGAAGAGGGCGGCGCCCACGATAACATTGCGTAGTTTATTCCACATTAACTGGCTGGAGTTAGTCATGTCCGAAGGCCACGTGGCTTCAAGGACAGCCTATTTTTGAAATAAAATATTTTTCTTAAGCATCATCGCTCGCATGGTGGTAACACGTGTCGTAAAAAATTATTATACTTTATTGTAAAATCCATAAGTGAGGGCATTTGGCTGTACGCCGCTGCGTTTCATGTGGAAGAGCAATTTAACTGCCAACACTGGCTGTCCATAAACACCGCATAGCTGCATCATTGCTCTGTAGCAAACCTAATGCATATTTTGTTGTATACAATTCATATTGAAGAATATTCTCTGTGCGAATATTAATTACAGAGATTTCTTAATCTCTATTGCCCTATAAAAATTACCTCTTCCATTGGATCCCACCTAAGCTTCTGCATTTTAACCAGTAACTCGTAAGCCTGATGGAGAATGGCAGCGGGTTGGCTGGAAACCTGAAGCATTCCTGGTAAATGTAAAAACCACAGACTGTAGCAAGTTCCTAAAAGACATCTGCCCCATCTCTCCGGCAGACCAGCCTAAAAAAAAACTCCCGATGACATACCAATCGTCTGCACGACAATAATAACTATTCGTTACGAACAATCGACGTCACTCACCTGTTTACAAGCCATTTTCTGGGCGACTTTGATCTCGTGTTTTGTTCGACGTGCCATTGGACTTCCGGGTGTTATACCAAAAGAGCTCAAAGCTGGATTTTTCAAGTTGAGATTCTTCTGTGGCCTCATCAGATTGGAATTCAATTGAAATTTTTTGTAAACGATGGGTTCCTGATTAGGGCCTGGATCAGGTGGTGGTATGAATACAGTTCTCTCACTGTGCTGAGATTCATCGAGCTCCAAAAAGGTCACGTTCTCCTCGTCAATTCTCTCGGTGCATTCATCGAAGAACGCTAACCCTGCCATATCCATATCAGAAACAAAGCTACTTTCCTCGATGAATCTTATGAACATCTGTGTTCTCACAAGCATGCTGTAAAACTTGGCATGTGCCTTGTCACGACTTCTGAGAAATGCTTGAATGTTGAAGAGACTAGTGGGGTCAGTGGATCCAACAGTCGGTGCTTTCGTTATTGGTAACAGGTAACTTCGATATCCATTCAAAATCATCGCCATAAATCTTAAAAAACTATTCTGTATTTCGAGCTCAAGTCCCTGCTCTTTCCTCTTCTGCTGAAACTCTTTGTCTACACTAAAATCCTCATTCGTATTTTCTCGCTGAGACGACTGCGTTTTAGCCAATGAATTCAATTTAGCGTAACTTTTTTCTAAATCACCCCTCAATATTCTACCAGGCTTCTTCGGTAGCAATTTAATACTCAAGTGTTTTTTATCCTCACACAGTACAACATTGTTAGTGTCTAAATTTACACAATTAACATCGGACGGTGGATCGTACAAATCGAAAAAACGTGAATCAACCCCAATGAGGAATGGCAACGGTGCATGAAGTACCTCGGCTAAACCAAGTGGGCAGAGGGGTATGTACGGACACTGCCACTTAAATGGAAATAGTATCATTGCAATGGCCTCACTCACTGATGTCAAAACATCTGGTCTCAGTGAATGAACAAGTATCTTTTGTTCAGTCAATATCAGCAGCAGTATTAGCATACAATTGTCAGGACCAAGGTTCATTAGTAATTGACGAAAACTAGCGCCAGATCTAGGCAGAGCCAGGTCCTCCGGTTGTGTTAAAATAAGTCTATCTACGCTGCTGAGTTGAACGAAAATTCTAGGCCTCTGGGGGCTTGGAAATGGTATGTCACAGAGAAAGTATGAGATGTATTTTTCGATAGGTACACTTTGGGCTTGGCCATCTGTCAGACTGAGAAGAAATCCAAGAAATTTTTCGAAAGTATCGAAAAATGGCCAGTGAGAAAGAATGCAAATTGATTTGCTGATATTCAATGATTGAGTCTCAGGGTCTGTATACTGAAGCTTCTCCAATTGTGCTAAATTTAATCTTTTCAAAACCCCAAATTTTCGGAAAATCTTCATCTTCACTTGAGGCTTGTTCTCTGTAATATTATCACCATCTGGTTTGTCAGATTTATCTAGGATTTCAAGGGGCTCTGCATTATTTAAATTGTTGAAATCTGGCACTACCTCCTCGTAGAAGGTGATTGCAGAACCATAGATTTTCTGCGCCGCATCGGCAACCGTTAGAACAAAGGTAGAGAAAACTGGCTTCGGTTTGTAGGCGACTTTTGGCCAACACTCGATGGTTGCACCCATGGGCAAACAAAACATTGCCACAGAATTGGGGAATGCAAAGCTATTGTAATCAGTGATGGGGTACTTGTAGAGTATTGCTGGCTTGAAGGAAATGAGATTGGCTCGATCCATTGATTTTTTGTAGCAAAGGAAAACGTCGCTACCCAACATCCCTTTGTTCAAATTTTTGTTTATAGTACAGAAGGCTTGAGGTGCTGTTTCACCTTTGTTTGTCAATATCACACAGATATCGGTGACTACTAACGAGTTACATGGCATCTTGCGACTTGCACGTCTGTACGTTACGAATATTTTCGAAGTTGAATTATTTATATTTGCTACGTGACCTGAAGGGGTTTTTTCGATCATTTTTGCGTCTGTCATTATGCGTTCTTTACCCTCGTAAATTACACCTGCAATCAAACATTTAAATAATGAATCATAACGCCTATTTTTTTTTTCTTTCAGACGTAATGCTGAAAATGGAATCATTACCGATGTCAACAAGAGGTGGTTTGTCCCTCCCCCGCCGATAACACAAGTAACACTCATTATTCCTCAAACTGCCATGATTAAGATCAGCTGGTAATCCAGAAACGGTCTTTTCCAAGCAAGTAAAGCCATCAGGACACTTCTCTCCCAATGATGTAAATATCACTGCCAAATCCGTGATGGGTGCCTGCATATGCATGTCCTTAAGGTGTGTTCCCTCCTGACACCAATCCTCAAGTTTATCAGCTAATTCATTCTCTTTATCACTCTCATTATTTTCACCAGGTAAACCAGCAACAACAAAATAATCCGCTACTCTCCTCTCGTCCATCATGATGCCCACCGGATTTTTTTTATACTTGATTAAAAATGGTTATTTATAAATCTTTGAGTACAACAAGGTCAAATGCATCAAGCATTTGCTGCAAAAAACACTAGATTCTCATGGACGTTCAATCGTTACAAAACACTGTAATTGTTGTTTCTCCACTGGTGGCTCTTGTTTTTTTTTTTTCAGGAGCAATGGAAAAATCACAGCATTGTCTGGGACATTGAAACAATTATGAATAACAAACGATTTAAATGTTATAAGAATTTATTGGAGGGCTCTGATGTTTCAATTATCAGTGAAATGAACAGCCAGTATTTACTGCATGCACCCAGCTGATTGTATGAAAACTCCAGCATTTTTTTTTCTCTGTTTTTCTCGTTCGAAGGTTAGAATTATGCGTTTGATGTGTTAAAGTAACGTAGTAATGCGCATGCAAATGCATGGTCAGACACTGAATAACGTATTGAGAGCGAATAAGTAGGAGTTAAGCATATATATAGACACTTCATGTATACATGGAATTATTTTATGAGGCACTGATTCGTGAGTTTGGACAAAATTTCACATTAGCTGTTACAGTTTCAATTAATCTTCCAGTCATTAATTGATATTTAGGAGGGAATACTCAGGATATTATGAGAATAATTGTGCTAATACCACAAAAGTTAATAGACTTTGAGGTTAAATGTCACACGCGACAGATATTTCGATTAATTTTTCAATTGGATTCAACTGCTTCGATAATATATTCACTTTTTTTGATTGTTTGATATACTTGATAAACACTGGTTTGACACTCGTTACATTAAACCAATCACATTTTCTACGGTAAAAATAAGAGCAAAACCCGTGTTTCTTGGACGGCCATCTTTTCTGAGTGGCAAAATGGTTGTCGGGAATAGGTTGGATTTTTTGTTTTTGTTGCTAAATCATCAATGCCGATGTGTAGTTGTGTGTCATTTTATTAGTGGGATGCATTTCCGTCGGAGCGATACAAAGAGAAGGAGAAATTCTGAATGAAACTGACGAAGCTATTGGAACTGCTGGGTTGCGAGTATTTTTATCTTTATGTCGCATTTTAGTCATTTAATATACCGATTGGTGGGGGCAAAGAGGATTGACTAAAGTAGAGGCTCAGTTCTGGGGGTTGGAG